GTGTCCCCAGCACCCCCAGTGTCCCCAGCACCCCGGTGTCCCCAGTGTCCCCAGCACCCCGGTGTCCCCAGCACCCCCGGTGTCCCCAGTGTCCCCAGCACCCCGGTGTCCCCAGCCCTGGCATTCGCAGCTCTGCGAGGACCGAGGCCAAGCGCACACCAGGAATTCTGCTATTTCCCTTCCAGGGATGCCCGGATCCGCAGCTCTCTGCCGCAGCTGCTTTGGCCCCGCTCCTCACTTTCCTCCCTTGCCTCGTTCCCCAGGATTTTCATCCCCAAGAAGCACCGGCAGCGCTTTGACGAGGTGGTGTCGCAGAGCCTCATCAGCAAGCTGTGCCGCTCCAAGAGCGAGCACAGCAACCGCCTGCGCCGCAGCCGCAGCGAGGACCACCAGGAGCGGCTGCTCGTGTCCACCCGGGCCAGCTCCGTGCCCCGCAGCCACGAGGAGCTCAGCAAGAGCCTCCGCAAAACCACCTCGCTCATCAGCAGCAATGTGGCCTCGGGGGCTGCCCGCAGGTAGCGCCTCCCCTGGGGGTCGTGTGGAGGGAGGAAAGGGAAGGGCGCTCGGTGTCGAACTCTCCCGGGGTCAGGATGAACACAAACCTCTCCCTCTGGAAGGTCGGGCAGCTTTGTGGCCCTTGTCCCAGCTCTGGGCACCCTCCGTGTCCCCCCAGCTCTGCAGGGATGGCTGGGTTGGGCTGTGAGAGGAGCTGAGGTGGCGCTTGCAGGCTGAGAGGGGATGTCTGCTCTTTGCTGGGTGGATGCAGGCTGTGCCAGCAGGATCCAGGGTACCCAGCTGTGCCAGCAGGATCCGGGGTACCCAGCTGTGCCAGCAGGATCCGGGGTACCCAGCTGTCCCAGCAGGGTTCAGGATGCCCGGTTGTCCCAGCAGGGTTCAGGATGCCCGGTTGTCCCAGCAGGGTTCAGGGTACCCAGCACAGAGCAGACTGAAAGGAGGCTGGAGCCAGCTTTGGGCTCTCTGGTCTCTTTTCCCAGGTAATGAGTGACAGGATGAGAGGAAACGGTCTCAAGTTGCAGCAGGGGGGTTTAGTTTGGATATCAGGGGAAATTCCTTCAGGGAACAGGTTCCTGAACACTGTCACAGGCTGCCCAGGGCAGTGGTGGAGCCCCCGTTCCTGGAAGTGTTGAGGGAAGGGTGAACGTGGCGCTCGAGGACGCGGCTCCGTGGTGAGCACGGAGCTGCTGCTGGCTTGACACTTGGATTTTATAATCCTTAAAGGTCTTTTCCGACCCTGAGATTCCCTGGCTTTCCTTGTCTGGCCCTGCCCTGCCCCAGCAGGTGTCTGGGTGCGAGGCTGAGGAGGAAGGACAATCCCTGGAGCACAGGGATTAACCCACTTGCCGTGCCCAGATGGCCAGACTGCAGCAGCCCTGAGGATCCTGCCCCAGCCAACAGGAGAGCAGGGGCTGGGGAGCTCGGGGTGCCAGGCTCCAGCCCAGCCTCCTGCCAGGATGATTTCCGTGTGACTTGTCCAAAATCCACTCCCAGCACAGTCTCCCTCCCTCCCTGCCAGAGCAGGATCCCGCTGGTTGGAAATGATCTCAGCAATGCTGCCTTCCCCCAGCTCCAATCTGCCTCCCAGCAGGGAGATTTCCTAATGCTCCTTCCAAAATTTCCTAGAGGAATTTAATTCCTCTCTCATCAGCCAACGAGACCTTTGCTCCCTGAACCACATTGTCTCTCTAATTCTCTGTAATAAAGAATCACTGACTGCTTTGGGTTGGAAGAGCCCTTAAAGATCATCCAATCCCAACTCCCTGACGTGGGGGGTTGGAACCAGATGATTTTGAGCTGTTATACATATATATATTCTTTAAATAGATATATTTATCTCATATTTCACTTTAGAACCACATTTACAGGACACTTTGGTACCAAAGGGGACCTTGAGGCAGCATTGGGAGCGTTGGGGACTGGAGTGCTCAGGAGAACCTGGGCTAACAGGGTTGTGGAGGGGCTGGGGAAGGAAACAAGGGCTGGATCTTGTACTCTGACTCCTGCTTGCCTTTTGCCCCCACAGAACAGTTCGAGTTTATAAAGGCAACAGGAGCTTTGGCTTCACACTCCGTGGCCATGCCCCAGTGTGGATCGAGTCTGTCCTGCCAGGTAAGGACATGAGACTCTTGATCACTTCTTGGTCTCTGCTCTGGACTTGAAATGTTAAATGCTGTTTGCTAGAGAAGAGCAAAAGGGGCTTTTCCAAGGCTCAGTGATGGAGTTTTCCCAGTGGAATAATGAGCACCTTTGGTACAGTTTAGATTGGCTTTATCCACTCCTCGTTTTGAGAAGTGGGAAATGTGTTCAGTGGCGATCCTGAAATGACACCAGTGCTCCCAGTGCAGACTGGACGCTGCACCCAGCTGGGTGAACAGTCCCAGCCCACCCAGATAAGCCAGGTGCAGGGGGTGCCCTGCTTGGGGGTGTCCCTGGGCCCCCAGCCCAGCCAGGGCTGCTGCAGCTGAAGCCCCTTTGTCCGTGTGCCTTCAGGGAGCCCGGCGGAGAAGGCTGCTCTCAAGGCTGGAGACAGGATCCTGTTCCTCAACGGCCTGGACATGAGGTAGGAGCTGTGCAGGGCACCCAGGGCCGGGGACAGGGGCCGAGCTCACCCTGTGGTCACTCTGGGGCACGGGAAACGGGAGCTGCTGGTCCCCACGTGCTGCCCTGCACAGGGGTTTGTCCTGTGGGGACAGCTGGGACAGCTCCTTTAGTGCTCCTGTACCAAATGTGGCTCTAAGAGGAGAACTTTTCCCAGCCCTGCTCCTCCTCTGAGTTCTCTGTGCAGAACAGTTTGTACAGCCGGGGTTCTGACTGTCCCCAGACCCCAGTTTCAGCCACTCTGACTTAATCTGTGTTAAACACCTGAGGTCCTGCTTTGGAAAGCAGCAAAGCCCATGAATCACTCCCACAACGGGATCATAAGCTTAAAGCCAGGTGGGAATCCCATTTGTACCCAGAGGTTCATTCTGTGCATTGTTTGTGCAATGGGAGCAGAGGGATCCGTGCCCCTCTCCTGGGCAGCCCCTCTCTCCTCGGGTGTGTCCTTCTGCATAAAAACCAAGAGCAAAGGCTTGGAGGAGGCTACAGGACAAGAGAGGGTGATGAATATTTCAAGGTTAAACTGATGCTGCCTCTGTCAGGGCTCAGGTTCTCACGTTTCAGCTGATCCAGCGAACTGTTGGCTGATGCAGCACTGCCAGAAAATAGAGACCGGCTTGAGGATTGTCCTCTGAGCCGTGTTTTTGGCAGGCATTGTCCCAGCCTGGCCCATACCCTTCTCCAAGGGCATCCCAAGATTGTTTTCACCTACAAAATTAAACTTTCTATTCACCTCGCATTTTCTTTGCGTGCAGAATTAGGACAGGCGAGGACAGACCTGCATGACAGCGCTGTGTCATTTAAAGGAAAAATCATTTTCTGGGTCTGGGTGCAGTTTAACTCTGCCTTCCCGTGCCCTGGCGCTGCTGAGGGTGCCCACAGGCATTGCCAGGTTGTTCCTTGGTGCAGGCAGAGCGGGGAGCTCGGCGTGGGGCAGGATCCAGGCTCTCCCTCCCTGCAGCACAGCGAAAACCGAGCAGAGCTGGAGAGAACCAGGGCATGGCAGCGGGGACCGCACTCCCCTGGCCCTGAGCTGCACCGGGAGGCTTTTCCAAGAAGAATGAAGCACGATGAGGACACAGCCGTGTGTCCCCAGCGCTCTCCTGGAGCTGGGGCTGCTCTCACCGGGCTCTCCTTTCCCGCAGGAACTGCTCCCACGACAAGGTGGTGTCGATGCTGCAGGGCAGCGGGGCCATGCCCACCTTGGTGGTGGAGGAGGGCATCGTCAGCTTCTCCAACGGTGAGAATGCAGGGAGGAGGGGCTGGAGAGCCGAGAGCCCGGGCCAGCTCCCGAATTCCTGCTGGAGGAGGGAATTGCCGGGCGCCTCCGTGGGCTGAGCAGGTTTAAGGCGCTGCCTGGGGGATGCTCCTCTCCCCGGGGCACGTGGCTCCTTGCTCTGTGGGATCAGGCTGGATCTCAGGCTTGGCTGCTCTCCAGGAGGGCTCATCCTGCTGTGTGACTGTCCTTGGTGTCCCTTGTCCTTGCTGTGCAGCGTGTGCCGTGTCCTTGTCCGCAGTAATCCAAGCCCTCGTGGCCGCGGTGCTCCGGGGGGCTGAGCCGGGCGGGATTGTTATCCTGCCGCAGGAATCAATAATTGATGAGAGCCCAGGGTGTCTGGGGCACTGCAGGGTGTCTGGGGCACTGCAGGGTGTCTGGGGCACTGCAGGGTGTCTGGGGCATTCAGGGTGTCCCCACATCCCGAGCTCAGCTGTGATCTCTGCTCCACAGTGCACAGAGCCGGGAGGCAGGGGCTGCCTCTCCCTCGGGAGCAGCACTGGGATCCCTCAGCCCCTCTGAGGAGCCCTGGGAATGCCCCCGGGGGTTTGCAGGTGGCTCCGCAGAGCCCCAGCAGCCTGGAATGGTCTGGATTGCAAGGGACATTAGGGACGATCTCATTTCACCCCTCTGCCTTGGATACCTTCCTCTAGAGCAGGTTGTTCCAAACCCCATCCAACCTGACCTGCTCCAAAGCCAGCGCCCTCCAACTGCTCCACTGCCCCCAAAAGAAACCAAGGAAAGATGGAATATCTTTTTTGCAGACTCTGACTCTGCCGAGTCCCCGAGCAGCTCCTCGGCCCTCACCTCCCTGCAGTGGGTTGCAGAGATTCTCCCCTCTAGCATCAAGATCCAAGGAAGGACGTTCACGCAGCAGCTGGAGCACCTGCTGACCCTGCCCGAGCGTTTCACCATCTGCAAGGCGCTGGAGGGCTTCTTCCAACATCGGTAACTCGGTGCCAGCTCCATCCTCCTCCGGGACCCCGCCCGGAGCAGAGCCCGCGCCAGGCTCGGTGTCGGGCAGAGGCAGCCCTGGGCTGGGGGCTGTCACAGGGGCTCCTCTGCTGTCCCAGGAGCTCCTCTGCTGTCCACAGGAGCTCCTCTGCTGTCACACAGAGCTCCTCTGATGTCACAGCAGCTCCTCTGCTGTCCCAGGAGCTCCTCTGCTGTCACAGGAGCTCCTCTGCTGTCACAGCAGCTCCTCTGATGTCACAGGAGCTCCTCTGCTGTCACACAGAGCTCCTCTGATGTCACACAGAGCTCCTCTGCTGTCCCAGGAGCTCCTCTGCTGTCACAGGAGCTCCTATGTCACACAGAGCTCCTCTGATGTCACAGGAGCTCCTCTGATGTCACACAGAGCTCCTCTGATGTCACAGGAGCTCCTCTGATGTCACACAGAGCTCCTCTGCTGTCACAGGAGCTCCTCTGCTGTCACACAGAGCTCTGATGTCACAGCAGCTCCTCTGATGTCACAGCAGCTCCTCTGATGTCACAGGAGCTCCTCTGCTGTCACAGGAGCTCCTCTGCTGTCACACAGAGCTCCTCTGCTGTCACAGGAGCTCCTCTGATGTCACACAGAGCTCCTCTGCTGTCACACAGGAGCTCCTCTGCTGTCCTGTGCTCTCCAGGTTCCCCAGCCAGGTGTCCACAAGCTCATCTCAGCCAGGTGTCCTGCCTGGGGACAGGGCAGATCCTTTAGGGTTTGGTTCCTTTAGGTTAATTTGGTCATGCCCCGGTCAGATCCTGTTCCACCTCCTTCAGTGAATCTCTCCATGCTCCATCCTTGTCTCCTCGCTCTTCCCAGAATCTTGGCTGCAGCATTTCCTGGTGGCTGCACGGGAATGGCTGTGGCTGGCAGAGCCCTCATCCTGCCACGGAGCACATCCCCCCTGTCCTGTGCAGGGATCCAGCCACATCCCACTCAGATTTCACCAGTGACCTCGTTCCCTGCCCTTGCTTGCTCTTGCAGCAGGGTTTTATCAGAGGCTGTCACAGAATCCTGGAATGATTTGGGTTAGAAGGGACCTCAAAGCCCACCCAGCCCCACCCCTGCCATGGCAGGGACACCTCCCACTGTCCCAGGAGCTCCCAGCCCTGTCCAGCCTGGCCTTGGGCACTGCCAGGGATCCAGGGGCAGCCCCAGCTGCTCTGGGCACCTGTGCCAGGGCAGAATTTCATCCTGTTGCAGGCTGTTCTATCCTGCTGGGATGGGGTGCTCAGCCCTGCTATTCCCAACAGCCCTTTCCCCCTCTCCACACCAAAATCAGATGGAGCCTTTGGCCCCAGGAGCTGCCAGCCCAGCCACCCTTGTGGTGCATTTCTCCCTCAGCCTGTTTACCTGCAGCTGGAAAAAATTCAAGTCTTTCCAGGGCTTCTCTCTGCTTTCTGGTGCTCCCCCACCCCTCTTACTCATAAAATCATGGAGTCCATTAGGCTGGAAAAGCCCTCTGAGGCCACTGAGTCCAGCCCAGCACTGCTGAGGCCAGCACTGCCCACGTCCCCAGGTGGGGACATCACATCCAGATGTGTTTAATGGCTCAGCTCTGCAGTGAGGGAGCGAGCCCATGGCAAAGGCGAGGCTGGGCAGCGGCAGGAGGGGCTGTGAGGAGGGACACGCTCACTGCCCAGCCCTCTCCTCCTGTTTTGCAGGAACATTGACACTCTCATTGTGGATGTGTACCCGGTGCTGGACACACCGGCCAAGCAAGTCCTCTGGCAGTTTATCTACCAGCTGCTGACCTACGAGGAGCAGGAGCACTGCCAGCAAAAGATTGACAGGTTTCTGGGGTACAAGGCCCTGGCAGGTGAGAGGAAGCCCCCGCGCTCCGGGACGGACACACCGTGTCCTGGGAGCTCAGTCCTTTGTCCTCCTGTCGTTTTGGAGTGGAGCTGCATTGAGAGGGAAGATGGATTGAGAGGGTGACTCTGGGAGAAAAGGCTTTTGGAAGCTGCTCAGGTCCTTAGAGGTGAGGAAGTCCAGGAAGGGAACAGCTGGTTTAAAGGCAGAGCTCAGATCAGAGAGGTAAAATAAGGGTGGTGCAGCATCCCTTGGGATGCCACAGAAACATCCGTGGTTGGAAGAGTTGGTGCTGCTTTCCCAAAAAGACACAAAGGCAGTTGGTGTTCCCCTTGTCCCTGGTCCCCCTGTCCCCTCACCACCACCCTCACCCCGTTCTGTGGCAGCACAAAGCCAGAGGTGGACTGGGGAGAAGTTTGTTTTGGTTTGAATTGAAATGTCCCAATCCGTGTGTCTGTGCTCTTAATCGCTTCTGCTTTTCCTGTTCTCAGTACTCACAGATGTGTTACAGATGTGTTAATTTTAGACTCAGCAAAGGTAAAAGTGTTGTTTGAAGAGAGGCTTTTGGAGGAACACAGTGATTTTAGCAGAAAACAGGAACAGCTCCAAGTCCTGGTGCAAATCCTTCCTGTTGTGCTGGGGTCCCGTGCTCCGTGCACTCTGGATCTGCTCGCTGGATTTGTGCTCAGCCACCTCTGCTTTGTGTGTGCAGAATCACAGCTCAGCTGGGCTGTGCATTCCCAGGAATTCATGCCCTGTAATTAGTGCATAACCTAAGAGCTGACAGAATGCAGAGCAGGAATCCCCAGCCGGGGGAGGAGGGAAGCACAGGAGCAAATTCCCTGTCCCAGGCTGCTGTTCCCAGCTCCAGGCTGGTCCCTGGCTCCTCTCAGTGCCTCAGGTGAACGGGGCAGTCTGTGAGCATGGCCCATGGTCTGGTGTTCTGGTCCATTCTGTGTGTCTGTGCCTGGATGCCCAGAGCTCTCTGCATTTGGGCTGCTCCTTCCCCTGGGCTCCCAAACTCCGCTGATCTCCCGTGTCCCAGTGCTGCTCTGCCAGCTACCTCAGGGATGGATGCTCCATTCCCCCACCCTGCTGAGCCTGAGCCTGTCCCAGCTGCCACACTGAGCTGTGCATGGGCTGCGTGCTCCTTCCAGGCAGCGTTCCAGGGCTGGCCCCACTCCCTTCTTTTCCCTTGGGGGCAGGAAGGGTTTCCTGGGACCAGCCCAGCTCAGGGCTGGGGTTTCATGTGGGCCATGAGCTGGTGGATGCCAGTGCTGCTGGAGAAATGGTCTGGGTGTCCCATCTGTGCATCCATCCCTGCCCTGTGCTGCCAGGGGCACCTGGAACCTGCTCAGCTCCCTGGCCATGGGGCGAGCGGCTACCGGGGAACGGCAGCTGCTGTGAGCACCATGGGGCTGGGGGATTCTGGGGGG